GAAAGGATGAGCTCGGAGCAACCACCCAGATAATGCTGCAGGAAATGAAGCTTGGAGGGATGACTTTATATATGGAGGCAAAAGCTATTCATAAATCTATAACTGCTTGTTGAATTAAAGAGTCAGCATACAGGTGTGTCTATACAGAGCTCTCTATAATGAGAGAGCTCTTACTGAGTGCTTGCTTTATACCAGCACCTGCTACAGGTTCATTACAGGTGTTCATTTAGCCCCACACCAACCCATGGAAGTGGGGTAAGATTATGGTAGTTATAAAAGGCATTTTTGGACTCCCCTGGTGGTCCAGTGGTTAAGACTGCCTCCCAATGCAGGGACTGTGGGTTCGATCCCTAGTTGGGAAGCTAAGATCCCACATGCCTCCTGGCCAAAAAACAAAAACATAAAACAGAAGCAATACTGCAACAAATTCAATAAAGACTTAAAAAAAAAAAAAGAGGCACTCTTGTAAAGCTTCCCAGTATCGCTGGTCTTGGAAAGGAATCATGAAAGAAGCAGGGGAATCCTTTGTCCATAAGTAAAAAGGAGGCCAGCATCAAGAGTTCCATTTTGTTGAGTTCCTACCAAGTGCCAGGCATGTGCTGTATCAGTTAATTCTCATGTCAAAACGCCACAGTGGATACTATTATTATTCCCATGTTAGGAGAGTTAGCAATTTGGAAACTGAGGTGCAGAGAAGGGTGATGTGAACGGCATGTAGGAACTGCCGACCTCAGTTCTGTCGGGAGTTCCACCCCTATAGTTGTGCAGGCCCGTGGTTGTGTGGGACTCTCACCCAGCCTTGCTGGCCCCGCTGCCTGTGCTCTTGGCTGTTGTGTGGGATGGATGTGGTGTTGGAATTCTGGGTTGGGATTCGGCAGATGTGAGTCTGAGACCTGCTGTGCAGCCTTGGGAAAATCACTTCACCTCTCTGTGCCTCTGTCTTCTCTGCTGAAACATGGTAGGAGTGAGGTGAGACCTGGACTAGCTCTGAGCTTCTCAAACTTGGCCCTTCTCTGCCTTGGAATAAAGCCAGGGGATACGTATTGTTATGCCAAGACAAGTCATTAAAAACATTATTCCTCTGCTTTCTCAGATACAGATATATTCTGTAGTCAAGAGTAAAACCCCCCTGACATCTTCAGATTAAAAAGGAACTTTTATAGAAGCTTGGAGTTAGCACTCCACTTGTTTCTTTCTTCCCAACCTCCAAACCTCCCAGAGGTACTTGCCTCGTCTCTTATGGACTTCCCTAGTGACTCAGATGGCAAAGAATCTGCCTAGAGTGCGGGAGACCCAGGTTCGATCCCTGGGTCGGGAAGATCCCCTGGAATAAGAAATGGCAACCCCTTCCAATATTCTTGCCAGGAGAACTCCATGGACAGAGGAGGCTGGCTGGCTATAGTGCATGGGATTGCAAAGAGTCGGACATGGCTGAGTGACGAACACTTTCACTTCCTCTGCCTATAGGGGATCTTGGAAGGAAAGTGTGGGGTCCACTTGATCTCCTGGCATGGGGACTAGCTTGACACCGTCTTGAATTAGCCCACTAGTTGGTGCAGGATTCTCTTGGTCTGCAAAATGGAGACTTCGATTTCTACCGGGGGAATTACCTGAGGTTTCAGATGAGGAAAGGCTCTGTCTGATGTTAGTGTAGGTACAAAGGGGAGGATGAGCTACTTTGAGATGACTGAGGATTCTCAAGGCTGTGGTTCCAAGTTCCAGCTAGTTCAAAGAGGAGGGGTCCTGGGGACCAATAACAGACATCCCCGTAGCTCCTGGCTTTGCACAGCACTGAGACCCTGGGCAGATGACAACTTCTCAGAATCTTTGTGTCCTCCCCTGTAAGAGGAGAACTCTCCCAGCACCCAGGGCCTAAGGTGGTGAGGATTCAACGAGGACATCCACGCCAGGTGCTCAGAACAGGAGTATATGTCATAAACTCTCCGTCAGTATCAGGCTGTATTAGTATCAGATAGTATCTGATACTATCAGATAGTATCAGAAATACTATCAGCCATAGTATTTCTATGGCTGTTTTACATCTGTGACTAAACCACTCCTGCAAGCAACTGAACCACTCCCCTGGGGTCCCCATGAACTCTGACTCAGAGAGAAGAGAGAAGAAGGGAAAGAAGAAGAGGGAGGGAGAGAGAGAAGGGATGCGTACTTTTTGTGGCCTTTCTGTTTTAGAAGGTTTCCTTGGAATGGATTTTTCTTTCTCCATTTGTATGTTGAAAGTCATTGGGCATCAGTGTCCCTTGTTATCCCTTTTCTTTGAGTTGATTGGACTCTCTTTGACCATCCATCTTTCTTGGAATCCAGTCTTCTCTCCTTGAATCTCAGAGAATCTCCTTCCCCGCCCTCTCTTGGCTGGGTATGGGATATATTCTTTGAGTCCCTGAAGGCATCCTTTACTCTTCTATGATTGGAGGGAGTGGAGCTTCAAGATGTGGGCAGGGAGAGAGGCATTTTGCGGTGAAGTCATTCTCTGGTGGACGAGAGCAGTCTCTATCAGTATGCCCTTCTCCTGTTCCTCAGCTGGCATGTCCATTCTGCCACGCTGACTTGTCCCGGAAAACTTCTGAAAAGTGAAGGAGAACCTTGGACCCCTTTCTCTTGTCTGACTTAGACTTGCCTGTGTAGATGGAGGCATTCCCTATGATGCCCTCCTTCCCTCTGGGAATTTTCCAGGGCACATTTGTCTCCCTCTGTGAGACAAGTAGGATTTCCTGCACTCCAGTCCAAATTATGAATGCCCAGAATAAGACACCATTTAAAGTCTCATCAATCTTGCATGCTAGTTCCTCAAATAAATAGCCGTGGACCAGGCACGGACAATCGCTTAAGGGTGCCTGATACCAAAGATGCTTTTGAATAAAGGACCTATTGACTTCCTGCCCAGATAGTCTGAAGATGGACTGGAGTTTGTCAGTTTGCTCCTAGGCCATTTGGATTTATAGATTCTAGCCTGGCCTGGCCACTCTCTTGTCTTGTGACCTTGGGCCCTTCCCTTTTTTTTGGCTAAGCCCTGGTTTGTACCGCTGTAAAATGAGGAAGTGGAACACTTTCCTTTAGCTCTGCCTTGCGTGTGTGCTCAGTCGCTTCAGTCATGTCTGACTCTTTGCGACCCCATGGACTGTAGCCCATCCCAGGTTCCTCTGTCCTTGGCACTCTCCAGGAACAAATACTGAAGTGGGTTGCCATGCCCTTCTCCAGGGGATCTTCCCAGGGATCAAACTTGCATCTCCTGCATGGCAGGTGGATTCTTCACACCCTGAGCTACCTGGGAAACCCTTAGCTCTGCCATCCTACAGCCTACATATTCCTTCATTTATTCAGTGAAGATTCACTCCGAACCTACAATGTGCCAGGTATAGTAGGCACTGGAAATTTGGCAGTTGTTGTTTGGCAGTTTGAAATTTGGATGATGTTGTTTCAGCACGGTGGAACTAAGAAAATCTAAAAGGCTAGAAATACTGTTGGGGGACAAGGCAGATAAGAAGGAAGGAGGACCAGTGAGGAGAGTTTATGGGTATATGATTTCAGATCCATCATAAGATGGGCCACTCAACATAGGAGCCAATGCAGTGAGATGAGTCTGCAGGAAGAGATGAACTCGCCATCCCTGGAAGTATCCAAGGACATCAGAATGACAACCTCCTCAGGAGGCTGTAGAACAGCTGGCCTACAGAAGGGCATGGAAAGCCTGTTTTAGGCACGAAAAAGGCAAGAAAAGTGAAAGTGAAAGTTGCATCTGACTCTTTGCAACCCCATGACTGTAGCCCACCAGCTTTCTCTGTCCATGGAATTCTCCAGGCAAAATACTGGAGTGGGTTTCCATTTCCTTCTCCAGGGGATCTTCCCAATCCAGGGATTAAACCCAGGTCTCCTGCATTGCAGGCAGACTCTTTAGTATCTGAGCCACCAGGGAAGACCAGGCACAAGGAAAAGCATACACCAAAGCTGAAAGGCTGAAGCTTGACCCTGCAGAGCCTGAACACACTGTCAGATTCCATCTGAGGCTGATGGAGGGTCACTGAAGTCCTAGAGTCTCATTTGAAACTGGGACACCAACATATGAATTTTGCAGGGGGGATGTAATTCATCCATAACATTCTGCATGTCCCCTGGAGAGCCAGACATTAACCTGTTGGCTGCTGGGTCATGAGAACATCGGAGGTCCCAGAGGAAGGGTGAGGGTGTCCAGGCAGCGGGCATAGGCTTTCAGACTGGGGCCATTTACCTACTGGCATGGTAGCATTTAAATTTCTAACAACTGGTATGGCTTCACTTGCTTAGCTTAGATGAATGCCGGCCCCATGTGACTGGGTGGAACAGGGTGGAATGGGGTGTAACAAATTGTGCCAAGTCACCAGAAACAGGAGCTTTCAGCACAAAAATTACCCATTGGGGGTTGGTTGCATTGGGAGAGGCCTTTAAAGCACAGATGAAATATTTGCTTTAAGAGTAATAGAGCTTAGCACGTGGTCCACAGCTGCCTTTTAAGAGAGTAACTTGTTAATTTTTTTTCCCTTGGACTAAATATCTGTCTTGATGAGCATAAGGGGAGTAGCTGTATTGAACATCAAAGCCTTCATTACTAACCAGAGGGAGGCCCTTCCTTCCACTCTCCCTCTCTCATAAGCCCAACCTTATCTGGAGGGACCTCTGTCCCCAGAGCTGTAAAACAAGCTCTTTTTCTAAGCTAACGGTGCACAATAGTGTCAAATTATGTATAATGATTTTGTAATGTGAACTAATGCCACCAGGGACCTTGTGGAAAGTACCACTTTCATTAAACTTATCCAGCAACAGGGTCTGAATATGAATTTAGAGGCGCCAGTAAATTGCAAGGCACATTTATTTTAAGCCTTTGCAGGCTGCTTCTAGAAGGCAAAGACCGACGGGGCAGTGACCAACAGCACTGGTGCATTTTGGTTTCTTGGCGTGGAAGTGGGAGGAGGTGAGAGTGCTGTGTTCCCTGCATCTCTTCACCCCAGGACCCCAAGCCCAGTGAGGTTCTTTGCAGCAGATGTGGGAGCTGCCTGCCCCGCTTTGCTTCAAACATGCTCTTACCTCCTGGAGAGTTCCACTGCCCTCCTGATGGAGAGGAGAGGGCAGCCGGGCATCACCTCAGAATTAATGAGACCTCCAATTACATTCATTTGCTTCAAGGAATTGTACCCCGCAATGACCCCCCACATTTCAGAGTCTTCCCACCTCCTTCATGTTCCTCTAGACAATGTAGCTAATTATAAGAAAACCATCGCCAAGAAGGACAAATGGAAGAGACCTCAGAAGAAAATCATAAAGGATTACCACTTCTGCAACCCCGGGGGTCTGGTCCATGAACCCCACATTGGCAGCCCGCTTCGCCTTCCCTGTGACCTGATGGAGCAAAACTCCGCCTGTGTTCTGGCCACCGCTGCCGCCGAGATGAGAGACAAGACATCACTAATCAAAACTAACCCATGCCATTTTTTCAACTCTTCTAATCTTAATTGAATCAATCTCCCAGCCTCTCTTGACAGTGAAAGATTGCTCAAATCTGGGAGGCCAGGCTGGACACGACTCCTGGAAGGAAAAAAATCTTCCTTAATCATTAATTTGTCCATTCCCTCCCATTTGGCCCAATCCTTCACTGTCTTGGCAGTGCACCCCCCACCCCCAAACCTTCCTCTCTTAGTAATCACTGCTAAGTGTTCTTCCCAATACGCTCATGTAACTAGAAACCAATTTGTGGGAAGAAGATGTGGTAGAGTAGCCCCCAGCCTCTCCCTTCCTTTGATGCACCTTCTCTTCCTTCTTTCTATGAAGTGTAGGTTGGCTTTAATTAAGTCCAAAGAAGGCTCTAGCACTATCTTCTTGACACAGTGGTAAACAGATTTAGAGCATACTTTCCCAGGAACTGAAACTACCCCGGCAACAACAATTTTCTCTTAGGTAGATCACCAAAAAGACTGTTATCATCCAAGAATGCATCTTGATCCTAGTGAAATCATAGCATGAATGGAACTGCAATATCCTTGTGTGTGTGCTAAGGTGCTTTAGTAGTATCCGACTCTCTGCAACCCTATGGACTGTATGTAGCCTGCCAGGCTCCTCTGTCCATGGGATTCTCCAGACAAGAATACTGGAGTGGGTTGCCGTTTCCTACTCCAGGGATCTTCCCAATCCAGGGATCGAACCTGCATCTCTTAGGTCTCCTGCATTGGCAGGTGAGTTCTTTGCCACTAGCGCCACCTGGGAAGCCCAATATCCTTAATATTTCTCAAAAGGAAAAGGATTTATGTCCCCTGGACTTAATATTTAAGTTTTCAAAAACTGTTCTTTTTTTTTTTGTTGTTTCCAAATTATCCAGTGCTCTCATGCTCTGGGTTTAACCATGTTTTTGTGTTTCTTAAAATGGGTCCAGTAGTTAGTGAAAAATATTCTTGAGGTGCAAGTTGAGATGCGAGTTGAGTAAGGGAATTTGTCACCTTTTGCATTACCCATAGCTTGAACTATTGCGGTAGTATGCTAACTGGTCTCTTGGTTTCTATCCTTGCCAGTGCTCTGATCTCCAGTAAGAGAGTTATGTGTTCAAAATAAGAGAGTGATGTGTTCAAAACCACGGGTCATATCACTGTGTTTTTGCTCAAACTTAAGTTTCCCATCTCACTCAGAGGCAAAGCCCAAACCCTTCCATGGGTTTGGTCCCCAGTAGCCTTGGATCTGGGCTTCCCAGGTGGTGCTAGTGGTAACGAACTGGAGTGCCAATGAAGGAGACAATAGAGATGAGGGTTCGAACCCTGGGTTGGGAAGATCCCCTGGAGAAGGGAATGGCAACCCACTCTAATATTCTTGCCTGGAGAATCCCATGGGCAGAGGAGCCTGGCAGGATATGGTCCATAGGGTCGCACAGAGTTGGATACACTGAAGTGACTTGCATGCACACACACCCTTGGATCTGGTCTGGTATTACAGGCATTCCTTTTTTTTTTTTAACAAGTTTTGTGAAAGAGCCACGTTAGTATCAGTTGTTGATTGGTGAAAGAAACCTGAAGAGGATTCATGAAGATGAGTGAATTTCGCTTTCAGCATTTGTTTCGCAGCAGCCACGAGAAAGGTAGCGCACACCCAGAGCAGAGAGTGGCGCCCCCAAGCTCCTTCCCCGGAAACTACACTCAGCCTCTCAGGACCTGGCCACCAGAGTTCTGATCAAGCATCTGTGCTTGATCTAGATTTATTTGGTGCATCTCTTAGCAAGATGTGTCCCAGGGTTATTGCTTCTTCACCCTATGCTGTTTCAGTTTACAAAGCTTTCGTAGGAACGTTCTCCTTTCGAACTGCTGGGAAGCCTCTATTCTCTGGCACTTTTTCCTTGCCAGCCACCCTGGTCTCCCTGGTTTCTCCTTGATAGATGTTAACCTTGCTCACACCTCCAGCCTTTGTACTGGCTGGATATTCTTACCTCTGTTAACACAGTGGCTCTTTCCTTCACTTCCTTCAAGTCTCTGATGAAATGTCCACTTATCAAGGAGACATTTCTTGACCATCCCATCACTCTCTCCTTTGTTCATTTCTGGGGCAATTATTCTTCTCTGACCTGTTTTAAAAAATTTTCTGTGTCCCCCACTAGATGCTAAACTCTGCAAGAGGATAGACCTGCCATATGATAGGTGTTCATTAAATATTTGTTTAATAAATGATTGTTCCCTGGTAGCTCAGTTGGTAAAGAATCAACCATTGCAGGAGACACAAGAGATGCGGGTTTGATCCCTGGGTCAGGAAGTTCCCCTGGAGAAGGAAATGGCAGCCCACTCCAGTGTTCTTGCCTGGAGAATTCCATGAAGAGAGGAGCCTGGTGGGCTACAGTCCATGGGGTCATGAAGAGTTGGATACGACTGAACACACACACACATATTATCCCAGAGATAAGATTCGCTGAGAGGCCCTTAAAGACTCAGTACTCTTGAAAACAAATTTTCATGATTTAAAGATTTGTAAAATTTCCCTTAAAATGTTTCATATTGATCTTGCATTTCCCCACAACAAAGGTGGAAAAGTCTGCAAAAGACTCTATTACCATTAATTAGCAGTGTTTGAAGCTGGGCAATACATGGCAGTTGTCACACTGGCTTTCCAACCCAACACTGTTTCTACTCAGGATCAAGAATCTTCCACCAGACAGCATATCTTTGTGGCTACTTGAGTCCAAGTTTTTAACCCGAGGTGGACTGCCAGTCACAGGTGGATTTATTATAGCTTTGTGGACTGTTCCCTGGCCCGTACAGGCCAGTTCCCCCCAGACTCCTCTGCGTGTAAATGCCAGCTGGTAAAACAAATAAAACACACTGTTCCTCTCTCATGCCTCGTCATAAATCGGCCTCAGCCTCACTCCTGGGGCTGGCGTCGTCTGATTTATGCCGTTGGTGAGATTTACGGTGTAGTCATTTAACATAAAAAATAAAACCTTTCAAACATGAGTTCTTACACATAAATTCAAGAGCTGGAAAGCGTTCGGAAACTTTTGTTTTCTTTAGGTGATGGTGAACATGCCTGCCTCATCTTAGGGATCATTTAAGGTAGAAATCTTCGTGACTGAAACGTCGATGGAAGAATAGAGGCCGTTGAGTGAAGCCATGCTTTGCGCAAAGTACGGAGCCAGGGTGAGTTGACCTGTTGTTCAGACTGGGGCTTCTGCTGAGGGTGGTGGTGAAGGCCAACTTTGACTTGGCCCCCAATGTACTCCACCACTGCCTTGAGAAGGTAGAGATTCCACATGGAAACAGATGATGTCATCAGTGGACACTGCATCTTCATTGGTTGAGCTTGGTTGGGGAGGGGGTGTGGTCGAAATTTTCCTGCTTTTAGAGGTAAGGAAATATGTGAGTTTGCCATTTTTAGGCCTCAGCTTCCTTTTTTAAAAAAAAAATAAAAAAAAAAGGGAATAGACTAGACAGCTGATTGCTGAGATCCCTTTTTGTGTTTGATTTTATGATTCTCTGTTCTAGAGGAAAAGAATGCTTCCAGATTTTTCTTTGTATTTTCACAAGGTTTGGTGAAAGGAAGGATTCCATTCATTTGCTGAATTAAATTTGAATTTTACTTCAGAAGTTTGGGGTGAAGGGAGAGGTGGGAGAAGGACCTTCTGCTTGATTTTAAAAGGTCTTCAAAGGCTCATGAAGATGAAAGTCATTCTTTATTTGATTTAGTTTGTATATGCCATTTGGACATCAGTGAGGATTTCATCCTCAGAAATGTTTAAACTGAAAAAGAAATCTAAGCAACACTTCCTTTGCCTAAAACTTGGTCAGTTTTTATGATATTTGGCTATCACAAACTTTCTTATTTACTTCTTCAGGCTGATAATTGTCATTTTTGAAAGCAGTTGGGTGTTTGGGTGTTTCCAGCCTTTCAAAGAATGATACATCTCACCATATACATGCTTATGTGGAATATATATGTATATATTTCCTGTTTAGGTGACAGTTTTAGGATCCTTCTAAGCAGTGATAAAAAACTCGCGGTTATAATGTGTGATCATTTTGCCTTTCATTATAATGCAGAATTTCTTCATGCAAAATCAGGCCAAGATATAAGCCTAAACCCAGGGGCAAAATTCATTCATTATGCATGTACATTATTCCCCCAAATATTGATAATACTTTTCATAATAATTATTTTACATATATTAGCTCTTGCTGCTATATTAGTATTAAAGATACCTTTATTAATCTTGAATATTTTGCTGAATAATAAATAGGATCTCAGAGGCTTGAGTTAAAAGCTGCTCTTAGCTAGAATGCTGTAAATCAGTTGTTTTATGAATAAAATTGGCTTCTGTATTTTTTTCCTCAGGATTGCTTATTTAAATAATTTTTCCATTTATTGAATGTGATTTTTTTTTTTTTTTTTTTTTTTTACTGGAGACACGTCCCCCTGCTGCCACCCTCCCTCCTGACTGTCTCTCCCTGTTGGAAAAAAATGCAAAATTACATAAACCTTCTTCTAAACCTTCACAGTCTGAAAGGGCAAACACTCTGCATTATTTAGCAGGCAATAGACATTTTTGTCCCAGTGATGCTCTCTCATGGTTTTTTTCTCTCTCTCTCTCTTTTTCCTCCTTCCTTCCTTCCTCCCTCCCTCCTGCCCTCCTTCTCTTCCTTCATCTCTTCCTTTCTTCCTTCCTTCCATCCATCTTTCCTTCATTGTTAACAGATAGCAACAATAATAAGGATAGTGATACATACCATTTATTGAGCACTAACAATGCACAAGGACTTGAACGTACTGGCTTACTTAATGCTCATCTTGTTAGTTGAATATTTCCCCATTGTACCTATTATGAAACTAAGGCTTAGAGAGGTTAAGATCACGTACCTGGCAAAGAATGAAGTCATGATATAATCTCTAATTGGTACAACTCCAAAGTCCATCCAGTGTTTCTTCTGAGATGCAAGTTCAGAGACGGTGTTTGTGTGGTACGGAGGAAGGGGCAGGCCACAGTGTCCAGCCTTGCA